TTTTTTTTAGTTCTTGAAATAAAAAATTTGGTAATTCACATTCTGACAACACAAAGCTTACTCCTCCAGCACAGATTTTAGATAAGCAATCAAATCCACCGTTTTATAATTCTCGGCCTGCACCATATTCCTCAGTGGATCACGCAGTGAACAGCCTTTTAAACTGAGATTCCATAGTTTACCTAAATAACGAAGTGCACTAGTTCAAATATAAGTCATCTGTCGCACACTTCAAACCTTTTGTTACACCAATTTCCATTCATAAAGGCAAAAGAGACGAATTCTATTCTCAGAACAAATTAAACCCTTAAACGAGAGAACTCCATTTCAGAAGTATGAATACTTTAGAACGCGCTTTTGTGTATAGTCAAATGCAATAAAATCGCTGAGGAATTAAGCAAAAGTATCGTAAAAATTTGTATTTTATTTTTTGGAGAACGCTGAAAACTTACCAAGAAGGCCAAGTTCGGGTGGAAGCGTTTCGATGCCGGTATTTCCATTAAGGTTTAGAACCGAGAGAGATATCAGACTTGACAGTTCACTGGGAACACTGGAGATGTTGTTGTTACTTACATCCAGTGTAGTGAGCGCGGGAAATTGTACTTGTCGCCGTAGCTGAAATTATCACTCGCTTATTTGAGTGACAAACAGGCAAACTCAAACAGCAAAAAGATAAGATGAAGCAAAAATTTTTAGAGGCAAAAAACCAGAACGATTACTATCTTCCAAGGACCAATTAACTTTTAATCAAAAAACAACTTTTTTTCCTCCTAACTTCATGACTAAGAAATCAGATACTATCATCTCTGATGAGAAAAACCTGAACTTTCCAATCAGTCTGAACATTAACCATCCCCTTCACTTCCCTCAGTCTTCTGCCTTGCTCTAAAATCGACAATCTTTCATCCTTTGCTTAATAATTTAATCGCTATCTGTTGTGCCATATTCAGCACGACAATTTACTTTTTTCTCTGTCAGTTTTCTGAAAACACTTTCCTACCGCTGAAGATTTCTGTCGACTT